TGTGTATGTGTGTGTATGTGTGTGTGCATGTGTGTGTGTAGCATGCATATAACGCTATTAGTGGTGACTCCAAAGTAATAAAAGATCTGGAATGTCTTCTGAATAACCAAATAAAGACAATCTTTTTAGTATAATTTTATAATCATTTATGTATTTTATTATGTTCTAATGCTTTGAATATCGGTAATCCATGGAAAGTCTGTGATTCCATATAGCAATGGAGTCATTATTTGTAATACCTTAATTTAGCAACCATGTGGGATCAAAGTTTCCTTTAAAAAAGCTTCAGCAAGGATACAGACTGCCTGAGTGGAAAAGCAACTGGACATGTGAAATCACTATGGCCTCCTCAGATACAATGTGTTTGGGAACAAGACTGGGCTCAGACCTTCCTGATGGGGAAACCACCTTCCTTTGGTTCATAGAGGGAAGTACCAAAGAACTGAGTGGAGAGGACACTTCTCAGGCAGGCAAGGAGGTGGAGGCAGCCTGTTTGCATGCAGGACAAAAAGCACCTCTTCTAAAGTCAATTCTCTTCACTAAAAGGGGTATCTTACTCTCAACACCTTATACCCTGAACATTCTAGATAAATGGGCATCTGCTGCTCACTTCTGATTATGGCCTCAGTGAATATACCACAGCGTGTGACAACATTATCCAGGGATGGTGGCATGTAATGGGAGGGTACTGGTCTCCTCTTTCAAGAGGAGGAGTCCATCTGAGTCAAAGTTTGATGTGGAATTCTAACTGAGACCTAAAGACCAGTCCATGTGGATAGTATTTAACTAGGAGATGGGCACTATTTTAAGAGATCTTCCAACTTCATCTCCCTGATAGCAGGTTAAGTCATTCCAAATGAAAGAAAACACCGTACTGACGTGGCCATCATAGCTGAATATTTAGCTACTACTATAAGGTTGTTGTGGTTGGGTCAACAAGAAAATATTTTTTGCCATGTTTCATCTCAACTGTTACCTCTTACTTTATACACTTAACTTTCTGTTTAGTTTCTTAATTGTTCCTATTTATTAACCTCAACCTGACTACAGCAGATAACATACAGATATAGTTTTAAGTAGAACACAGGGATAAAAAGAAATAAACTAATAATTTTCAAATATCTGTTATATGTCAGGTATCCAGCTAAGCATTTTCTATACAGTATAGTTACCCCCATTTGAGACAGGATAACTAAAGCCATTCTCATAATCTATAGAATTAGAATACTGTACGTGTCTGTGGTTACATATTTTTTTCTTGAAGCTTTTCTACAGAAAACAGTACATAGTCCACAAACCCGATAATCCTTAAATGTCTTTCACTACCAATTTATTGTTTTTAGTGTTTCCTTTCTAGACTTCTTCCCCAATCCCTTATTTTACAGCTTCAGGTTACTTCTGAGTTTGTTCTGAATAGAAACACACAATTTGTTTATTGAAGGAATAGAAGATATATTGTTTAAAATGTTACATGAGAAACAACTTCAGTCAATTCTTTTGCAAATATTCCAAGCTATTACCACAGCTAGGAGTGTTTCAACCGACTGATTGACCAGAAAACTTGTCTTCCTTTTTGCCTTTTATCTCAGTCAACACCTTTTTTTGTTGACTAAAACTGTGAAACTTAAAAATGTCTTTTGGCTTATCATTTCTAATTAATTCTCTTACTCATCAATCAGGTTGATGGCAATCAAACTTTCACTTTGCCTTTATTCACTTATCCATCCAATAAATCTTCACTTAATTCCCATTTCTGGCACATCAACCACGTGCATATTTCTCTGAGGATAGGTTTATAGTCAATCCGTACGCTCCACGTGCCCCAGAAGTTAGGTTTTCCTTCCATTTTGACAGGCGTTCTTATCTCAAATTGTGTGTGATATTATGACATGATCTTTCCAGTTAAACGCAGCCATCTAGAAATAAATTCAGTGCCCTTCCAGACAGGAAGTAGGTGTTAAATACCAGCAGTTACAATGCCATGGATCAGGAAACTGAGAGGACAACAGAAATGAAACTCTTCCTTGCCGAGACTCTGTCAAGATCCTCTGGCAGTCGAGTTTGTCTCCTCCACTCCCTAATTCTTCATCCTACAACTCTTTCATGAAAATCATGCTTTGCAGAATTGTTCCAAACGGATAGGTCTATCAACGTCATGCCTTCCTAGTCTGCCTTTTGGGATGGAAGATACTTAATGAGAGGCTACACGCTACAGACAACTGCTAGACTTTTATGGATGCTCTCTTGAGTTATGCACATACTCTCTTTGAATTCACTCCAAATGAGGGAAACCAGCTTCCCAGTTGGAGAAAAAGCAAAGACTACTATAAAAAGAAAAAGGGGTTAAAGATGCTGTAGCCTAGGGATGCCTGGGTGGCTCAGGTGGTTAAGCATCTGCCTTTGGCTCAGGTCATGATCCCAGGGTCCTGGGATCGAGTCCCATATGTCCGGCTCCTTGCTCAGCAGGGAACCTGCTTCTCCCTCTGCCTGCCTCTCTCACTCTCTCATTCTCTCTGACAAATAAATAAATAAAATATAAAAAAAAAAGATGCTGTAGCCTATCCCAAAGGTCTATTTATAGCAAAGATAAATATGAAAAAAGTACCAGTTGTAACCTTTTATTCACCATTTGCAGAGGATGTATCAGCTCGGCAGACAACATATTGGACTCTTCATTTAATTTTATTTGCACTGAAGATGCACAAAGGAAAGGAGAGGGCTTGGACTTTGGAACCAAGCTGACTTGACTGACTTGAGGTCCCATCATTCCCTCATTAGCTGAGTAACTTCAGAAAAAGTACTTGCAACCCTCTGAGTCACAGAGTCCTCATGTGTAAAGTAGGAACAATGCCAACCATGACCCAGTGGTGCTTTGTGTGTGTGGGGGGGGGGAGCAACATATATAGCAGTGTCTAACAGTGTTTAGAACAAGATAGGTCTAAATTAATATTAGTTCCCCTTTCTTTCCCCATGTTATCTGTGCAAAACAACGTTGCTTTTGGCTTTGAAATGTGAACTTTCTCCTCTCCCCCATCAAAATACACTTTTTCAAGTTGTCACCTAGCTAAGAAGAGACCTTAAGACATGACTTCAAATAGAGGTATCCATTTAACATGAGAGTTTTGGGAGAGAAAAATTAACAATTGTACTTTAGCCCTCATTTTAATTATAGTAACAATGTAGATGCCAATTTTTCCTTGTGCTCTTCTTTTATATTTCATATTCTAAATAAAACTGTAACATTTTCTTTTTTAGAAAGTCCTTAAGCTCAATGACAGGATATGGGATCAATTCCAACTGCTATTCCTGATTGGGCCCCTTAGCCTGTTCTTTAACAAGCCTGATAGTTCAAAGATGGAAATAAAATGCTTAAGTGATGGCCTAGCTGGATCCCGTCTTTAATGTGCTGAGAGACTTTAAAATGTGTTTTACATAAGGCGGAGAGAGGGAGAGGTGGAGAGAATGTATCCTAAGAAACTTTCCTCTCCATAGTTTTGCCAGGGTACTGCAATCATCATTGTCATAAGCGAAAGGGAGAAAAACGTTGACAGGACGAAGGGAGTCACTTTTGTTTTAACAAGGTTAGATGGTTTGGAGTTAAGAGTGAAAATCATTCATTTTAAACTAGAATAGGCAACAATGAGTTTTTCCAGGGCTTGTGCTAGTTCCCCCCTGGTCCCAGACCCAACTCACCCAGCTGGAGCTGTTCGCAATTCAGGTCTGGATTCTTTCCGATCTTGCATCTGTAAATCGCGCCGGGATTGACCACTGAAGCGTTGGCAAGCCAACTGGCCGTGGGCGCCCCCACTATGAGCCTAAAGCGAGAAATGTGCACGTGCGCGCAGACGTGAGCTGAGCTGCCTACTGAACTCCTGGTCTCCACAGGCTCGCAGCTGGCAGCCGGGCCGCTCCCCCAAACCTCCTCCTCCTCCGCCCACCACCTCGCACACCCAGCCCGCCACCCCCAACTCGCAGCTCCAGAGCCTTACACCAGAGCGCACCCCAGGCGTGCCACCCCGAGATCAGTTAGCTTCCCGAGCAGATCCAGCAGGCTGGCCGTCGCAGCGCACCCCTTCTGGCTCCTCCAAAGGGAGTAAAGTTTGAACTGGGCAGGGGATCCCTGAGGCGCCGCTCCCTCGCGGCTCTCAGATGCCCAAAGCGCCCGGTCCCACTCCACTCACCATCGGTTCGCCCCGTGGCTGTGCAGCACCACCGAATAGCCGAACAGGGTGTTGGGGGGGCCCTGGAAGAGCAGCGCGCTCTCGGTGTCCACGTTGTAGGGGAACCCGGTTGGGACCCCCAGGCACAGCAGCAGCAGCACCGCCTCCCAGACGGCGGCCCCTCGGGGATTGAGCCCGCACCTCGCTTCCCCAGCCATGCGCTCTCGGAGGAGAACATTCAACACCAAACGGCCACGGTCCCAAAGTTGCGCGGGATGAGACGGTCGGCCAAGGGGAAAAGCGCCCCAAGAGAAGAGCAGCGTGTCCGGCGCCGGCGGGCGAGAGGGAAGGAGGCAGGGAGGGAAGGAGGGAGGGACAGGGGAAGGGAGGGGAAGTAGGGCCGCGGCGGGCGGAGCAATCGAGATTGATCTGGGATGCAGCACACCCGCCGGGCCCACGCCCCGCTTCTGCGGCCAGGAGCTGCGGGTGCTCGCGCAGTCCCGGGGAGCCTCTGGGTGGGGTCCCGGGCGTGGTGCGGAGGCACAGGACCCTGCGCCGTCTCACCCCACGCGCGGCTGTAGGGGGCGCTGGGGGACCTCGGCTGCGCCGGACGCGAGTCCGGGCCGGGGCCTCCCAACCCGCCGAGCGCGGGATAACTCTGGACTCCCAGGCTTTGCAAGAGGGGAGCTGGAAGAGACACGGACTTCGCCTTTGAACCGTGGTTGAGGCCTGGCTGCGGAGCGGCGTGGCCCCAACCTGAGCCGCGCGCGCACCACGACGAGCATGGGATCTCCGCGGCCTGCCTGGCGTGGCCCAAAAAAGGCCAGCCACAAACTCGGGCACCAGGACGGAGGCGGAGACCTGTCTGGATCTTTTCGTGGATAGTTAAGCTCTATCTCTGATGGGCTGGGGGAAGGTGGGGGTGCGCAGAGAGGGCATAAGCAACCACTAGAGAAATTAACCAAAGGGCCATAAATTAAAGCCAAATAAACAAAAGGAACTCCCTGAAAGCTCCTGAGGCAGGCTTCGGTGACAAAGACGTTATGGCTCTTCACTTCAAGAGCCCTGCACCCTTCTATGCCCACTTCCTTCCACCCCACACTTCCTCTAAAGTCCGGGCTGCGTTCCTGAGGCAGAGGAGTGGTGAGCGGGGCAAACTGAATGGAACACGGTTTAGGCTGTTGCAGAGTCCAACGCGGAGGCTGGGTTAAGGAAGCACCAACTTGCCTCACTTTAGCAGGTATCTCCGTCTGCTTCTCTATGGCCCTCCTCTCCATGCATCCATCGTCGCCAAAGGATACACCTGCCATCAGGGGTGTAGACCCAGTACGAGGTCAAGAGAAAGACACCATAATGGACCCGAGAAAATGCACTGGAGACCCACAGCACAGCATACCTGAACTGGGTGACGATTTTTATCCCAATGCTATCCAGATGTGCTTCAAGTTCTAGAGCAACTAGAGAGACGGCCATAACGGGTTAGGCTGGTATTTGCAGGAGATGCAGGTCCAGTTCTTAATTAATACTATATGAATTAAAAAAGAAAGGAAGGAAGGGAGGGAGGGAGGGAGGGAGGGAGGGAGGAAGGAAGGAAGGAAGGAAGGAAGGAAGGAAGGAAGGAAGGAAGGAAGAAGAAAGAAAGAAAGAAAGAAAGAAAGAAAGAAAGAAAGAGAGAAAGAGAAAGAAAGAAAAAAAAAAAAAGAAAGAAAGAAAGAAAGAAAAAAAGAAAGAAAGAAAGAAAGGGTTCATTAAAGCCAAACTGAAACAGCACATCTTAAGTTGTAATGGCAGACACATCATTAAAATACTTGTTCCTTCTTTTCAGCATATTTATTGAGCAGTCACTATGCTAAGCCCACAGGATACCTCAGTGAGCAAGGCAGGACAAGCCTTCAGGACAATTTTCAGCCAACAAATTTTGCTAACTAGAGAAAGTTCTGAATGATTTAGGGACACTTAAGAGATTTGAAGGACAAAGAGGGGTGAGTTAGGCTGAGCAATTTGAGAGGAAGAATGAAGGATGATGCTGGTGGGGTCAGACAGAGGAACTGGGAGAAGGGGTCTTGGCTGGAGCATTTAGCTGCTCACACACAGTATTACAGGAAGCTGCCTAGGGAAGCAGGGACACAACATGAACATCCTATACCAGGTTAGGGATTTTTAACTCTGTGCTGGGGTGGATAGGAAGCAGTTGAAAGATTTGTCTTGGGACACCTGGGTGGGTCAGTCGTTAAGCACCTGCCTTCTGCTCAGGTCATGATCCCAGGTCCTGGGATCAAGCCCCGTGTGGGGCTCCCTGCTCAGCGAGAAGCCTGCTTCTCCCTCTCCCACTCTCCCTGCTTGTGTTCCCTCTCTTGCTGTGTCTCTCTGTCAAATAAATAAATAAAAAGTCTTAAAAAAAATAAAAGCCCATTTGTCTTGTGCTTCAGATGTGAAATGAAAAGACTGAATACAGAAAACCTAATTTTGAAGGCTTCCCGCAACAGTACCTGTCAAGATGGTGGTGGCCTAAACTAAGAAGGAGGGATAGAGGAAAAAATAGATTCGAGAGATATCTGTGAGATAGAACCCAATAAAACCCAGTGATAGTATTGGTAAATATGAATGCAGAGCTGAGAAGGAGTCAGAGTGTGTGAGTTTGGGAACTGGGTATATGGTGCTAATTCAAAGAGAAAAAAATGCACCGGAGGAATGAGGCTATGCCTGTGTATGGGCATGCATGTGAATGTGTATGGTGGGCAGGCACTGATGAACTGAGTTTTAGACAGGTGGAGTTTGAGATACCTGTGGAATGTTAGGATATTCTAGCCACACCCAACCCAATTATTTTTACTCTTTTGTCAACAAACAAAAGGAACAGTAACCCTCTCTCATTATTTGCAATAAAGTAAGAGGCAAATAATAGTGTGTGATAAATCTATTGTAAAAATGAAATGAAGTGGCTTCCAGAAAAGTAGCTATCAGGGCCTATGGTGGAAGGGTCCTGCTCTGTTTTCCACTCAGGGTGTGTTTCTTTCTGAGTAGATCTATGTGCTGATTTCAACCCAGTTCTCAACTAGCAAACGTTGTCATCATTCTGAAATCAGCAGTCCCTCTCGTTTGCAGCCACAACATTTTCAATTGAGGCTCAAGAAACAGATATATCAAAGGCACTCCCATACCCTCCAGACTCTAGCCATGCCACTGACCTAAACACCTCCCTCTTTCTTTCCCTCCCTTTACCAAATGCTTATGCAATGAAATCCACTCAACGCAATTTTTTTCATAGCATTATCAAGATGAGTAATGGTCAGTAGGGCACTTGTTGGGGCATGACCTTATTTCTGTGAGTGTGGTGATGATTATGGCTACCCGTCACTACTTCATACACTTCATTCACTACTTCATACTCCATATTAGCCCGGAGTTTCCTTCCTCCAAGGCTTAGAGAACAGTTCACTTTTGTTAAGTCAGTAGGAATAAAGTGTTGCCTGGAGATACTGTTATCTCTCTAATAAGTGCTTTTGTAGGCAAGTGTGAGAATCATGTCGGGGGAGGAGGAGAGATGGGGAGAAGAGAACTTCTCAAAACAACTTATGCCCATTCTTCACCCTCAACTGAACTTAAAGATGCAGTCATCCAATTAATATGTGTCATTTGATCAACAGGTTACAGGTGGCCACTGTGTGCCAGGAGCTGCATCAAGGACTCAAGCGTAAAAGATGAAATCCAAATCATCTCTATCCTTGGTAAGAAGTCTTCCCCAGTAAGGAGGATTCTAATATGGGCTCAACCAGCTTCTCAGAGCGAGCATTTCTCTTTCTTAAAAGGCTCTATTCTTGGAATACTACCTTTTTGAGCCCCGCCCCCCTTCTATCTGGCCACTGTGAGTCTCCTTCGCTGGCTGCTTTCTCTCCACCACAGTGTTGGACAGCCCCAGAGCTCCATTCCGAGCCCTCTTTCCTCCCTCTTTAGGAGATCTAACCCATTTCCTGTGTCTTTAAGTACCACCTATATAGTACTATTACATACCACTGTGAGTCCCCAGTTCCTGTCTCCACGTCTCTCTTGAGAGCTGCAGATTCATATATTTTACCGCCTACCTGACCTCTCTACCTGGTTGTCTAGTGGGCATTGTGAACATAACGTATCTAACACTGAGTTCTGTTCCTCACTTGAGTCTGAACTATTCCTCCCCCCAATCTCTTCCTTTCTAATAAATAGCACTCTGTCTGCCCAGTTGTTCAGACCAGAAATTTGGAAAGTAATCCTTGACTTCTTCCTCTCTCTGTTCTCCGCATGTAATCCATCAATCATCAAGGTCTATCAGTTCAACCTTCAAACTGTATCTCAAGTTGGTCTGTTTAACTTCTTCTGTCCTGCGGTCCTTCTGTCTGCTGGTCCCCTCTTCCAAGTGCAGAAGTCTCACCTGGGCTTTTCAATAATCCACTACCTGGTTTTCCCTACTCATCCCTCCCCACACTATCAGTTTTCTACAAAGAAGCTAAAGTGAACTTTTAAAATTCTAAATCAAATCATGCATGCTTCTCCCTTATGTAAATCCTTTAAATAATTTCCCACTGCTCTTCCAGTACAAACTTAAGGTGGCCTACAAGGACCCAGTGACCTGGCGTCTGACTACTTGGCACATTTGCCATCGGCCACTTGCCCCAGGTCATGTCGTTTTAGCCACCTAGATCTTCCTTAATTTCCTTAAGTGCATCAAAGTTTTTTTCACCCTGGAGGCTTCTGTCCATATTGTTCTCTCTGCCTGCACACAGAACCTCCGCCTTTGCACATGATTTGTATCTTTCTTCAGCCTTAACTTAAAGGTCTTCCCCCAGAGGATTTCCTTGCCCGCCCATTTAAAATAGGTCACCACATTGTTCTTTCACAGGCCATGCTATTTATTCTCTTCAGAGCCCTTTAACTCATCATCATATATGTATTTCCTTTTTCACTCTGTCTTTCTCTCTAGAATATGAGCATAGAACACTCATTGTGTTGTTGCAGTTGTTCAGCACTAAATCTCTAGCCCCTGATATCTGGCTGGTACAGAGCAGGTGCTCCGTAAGTATTTTTTGAATGGCCCCTACATGATTTGAACTTTTTCTATTATTAATGTCATAAATGGAGAGAAATATGAGTGTTTATGAGTTTATTTTCATGCATTATTACATGCAAAACAATGTATTACGTGGCTTAGTAGATGCAAAGACATGTGAAGATAGGTCCTACTTCAAGCAGCTTATAATTTTCAAGGAGACGGGTGATATGCTTTACAAAACCAGACAATATAGTCAAATGTGAATGCCACATACACTGGGGGGGAGAAGGGACAGTTGGGGTGTTGGCATAAAGGGCAGTCTCGAGACCTAAATTTAGGTAGAGTGTAGGGCAGGGGAAATGAAAGAATTGGTATAAGACACTGGGGAAAAAACTGACATGAATTGTCAAGGACAGGTAATACGGAGAAGTAAGGTATGACAGGCCGGGTGACTGAGACAATGATGGTACCATGAAAAGCAACACGAAAAGCAGAGGAAAGAGTGGAAATGGAGAGAAAAGGGAGAATGGGTTTGGATCATGCTGGGTGAGTTTTAGAGATGAGTCTGTGATGGTAGAATAATCAGATATGTCTAGCAAGTACTGTTGGTTATTTTTTCTTTTGTTTTTCTTTATTTTTTAAAAAATTACTAAAGTAAAACATGCAACAAGTAAAACAGTTAGTGATCCATAAAGAAAACGTTTTCAATGTCTCCGAGACTCCCTTTAATCTACTCTTCTGAGGCACGTCCCCCACCTTTCCTCAATAACTTGACCGCAATCAAGTGCGTGTCCCAAGGCCTGCTCTCAGGGCATTCAAACTAAGACAATAAAGGTTTTTGGTTGTCGTTGTTTTGTTTTATTTTTAGAGTAATAAAGTTCCCAACAACAAACCGGAAGCTCTAATTCTTTTCTTCTGAAAGATACTATTAGACCAGATTTCCTGATGCTCTAATATAAATATCAAATGACAAGTTTGCTTTTAAAAGAAACATGAAACAAGGAGTCTTCTCAATCATAAGAGTTCTGAAACCTGCTGAGAAACTGTGTGGAACACACTCTAGAATTCCTCACTGGAAAAACGAGAGGCTGGAGCATTTACCCAAGGACCCATGCTCTACTTGGTAGGAGGTTAACCTCACCACACTTTGCCGGCAAGCACACTTCCAGACACTAGAAGAGTCCTCAGGCAGAGGAGGGACACAGACTCCCTGGAAAACTGCCAGTGTGCTGAAAGGGTCCACCCAGTAGCAGGGGGGTTCAGGTAACCCAGAGGGTGGGTCATCGAAGGTGTCTGTTATCACTGCCAATCCAAACCTTGGGTGGCATGTTAGTGTTGCTCAAACTTGGCTTTTAATTTCTTACGTTTTCTCTGTTTGGATGGGGAAATGAATGTGTGTGGGTATAAAGCACTTAATACAGTGCTTCGCACATAATCAATACAGAATAAATAGTAGCCCTTACTCCTTCATTCTTCTTATTTTATCATCATCATCATCA